GCCGGCAGCCCTCCGGATGCTCTGGCCTTCTTGCGTGAACCAGTTGCGTTCATGACTCGTTTCGCTTCCTTTTGGCTTGCTAGATCGGCAGCGTACTCGGCGTGAGTTTAGTGCAAGTTGCTCCCCTTCAGGAAAGCTGAGGTGCTCTGTAGGCTTCAGCTGTGTGAACAGGCACGGCAGCGTTAGCATGAAAAATATTCCTGTCGCAGCCACCTTCTGTTAGGTACTTCTGAAGTGGGCAGGCACGCACGCCACCGGGATGCAGCCAGACGCCGATACGCACTCCGCGCTCGGTTTGTGTGACAGTTGACTTACCGCACGCCAGGCCAGGGATCCACTGGTATGTCCTCCTTCATACGGTGGCGTAGGTGTAGACATTTATGTATCCCTCAGCGGAGCGATCCTTGGTCGGGTGTCTAGCTGCTTCGGAGTCCTCGTCATGATTTGTCCCCCCCTTTTTTTTTTTTTTTCAGTTGCACAGGTGTAAGAATTGGACTTTATCATATTGCTATACACCTCCCTCCCCCACCTTTTTACTGCAACTTTGGCAAAAATGGGGGGTGGGGGTGGGGGGAGAAGGGTACAGCACCGACAGAAAGGAGAAAATCACAAAAGGTTAAGCGTTTTTGAGAAACTTTCCATCTGTCTCAAAAAGTCATGCATGTTAACCATAGTCTTTTGTTAAAGAAACTGTTCAGAATGAAAATAAATGTCACCATGTATGAGTGGGCGTTTTCTCTTGTCGCTGCAGAAGGGTTGTTCTAGGGGATACATATTCTTTCCAATAACGTGTGTTCTGTTCCTAGAAACTCCACAAGACAATAATAAAGAATAGGAAGATGCTTTTTCCCCCCAACTCTTTACATTGTTTTGTGTAACCTAAAATGTTTTTCCATTTTGACTGTTTCTATAGTATGATGCTTATTGAGAAATGGCTCAGGGTTAAGTTGACAGTGCTGTAGCTGATCTTTAAATGGGATATTGGAAATGCTCATAGTTTGGTCCTGATTTAAGTTCAGCATATGCATCTGACTTGATAATTTAATAATTTTCGTGTTAACCTTGTTACAAATGAGTAAAATAATATTAGCAAATGGAAGTCATTTTTCGATAAAATTGAAGAGACCTTGTGTGCAGGAGATACTTAGGTAGCAAATATGTGGGATTTCGGTTTGTTTTACCCATTGGTATAATTAACAGTTGCTCAGAGATTTGAAAAAATAACCTAAGTCTGGTCCTATCTGAAGCTGGAATTTTGATAGTCACCTTGCAGTCCACAAAGAAAGAAGAGCAAAGGTATTGGTTTATGAAAGCGCTAAGATTTTTTTTTTAGTCATTAATATTTTCGTCTCCTTTTTCTTGCTTTCTAGAGACAGGGGAAAGAATCACAGTGCTTTGCTAGTTTGTGTCTTTCACTATATTAATAATCTTTTTTTGTAAAACTGCATTTTAAAAAAAAGAAGTTTTTTTTCCCAGCTCCTGTTTCAAAGAAAATCAGTAACTAGTAGGCCCTTTGTGAGAGTCTGCTCACCCACTTGCCTAAGACCAAGGTTTATTTGGTTTAAAAGTGAGTTCAAAGTGTTGCTGAAGTCATGCTTTAAAAATTACTCATGCAGCTTGCTACACTGGAGTGCTTAGTGGAGTTACAAATTCTGACGTGGAGGTTTTGTGCTTTGACAGAGGCAGATTGCTAGAAATATTTAGTAAATAGACAAGGTACTTATACTTGTACGTTTGCTGGCTTGAGTTTAGGGTAGTTTTTTTTTTTCTGGAGGAGGTAGGGGAGTTGGCAAAAGTCAGCTTGCAGCACACAGTAACTGAAGTGGTTTCTTGGGTCAAGAGGAGGGTGGTGCTCGGGGCTATCAGACATGCTTTTGTAAGAGGATACAAAGGGATACAAAACTGACTACTCGTTAAGATTGGAACTATTAGAGGTCAGATCTAGGCAGTGTCTAAAGCTTGTGTTATCCCCAGTGTCCAAATGCTTTTCTTGTAAAAGTGCTTACACTCAACTTAAGTGTGTAAATAAATATGTAAATATGTGTATTTAACGTACATTTAGAAGAGTAATGCAACAAGTGATCGCTTAGCCTTTATGACCCTTTCCTCTGGTGACCGCTCTCTGATACAGGCAAAAGCTCGGTAGCCGCACCTGCCGTGTGCCTTTCTGCCCGTCTCCATCCCATTTCAAATCTCTCGCTCCACGTTGAAATGTTGTCCTTAGCCTCCCAAGAGGCCGTAATGGTAGTTGTCACCTGTTATTGCCCAGGGGGGTTGTGGAGTCTCCTTCTCTGGAGATATTCAAAGCCCTCCTGGACGATGTCCTGTGCAACCTGTTCTAGGTGAACCTGCTTTAGCAGGAGGGTTCAACTAGATGATCTCCGGACGTTCCCTTCTGACCCCTGCCATTCTGTGATTCTGTGTTAGATTTTCAGATGAAGATGCAAAAGGCTTTGCTGCTTTTTTTTTTTTTTTTTTTTTTTGTTGCGCTCAATTTATGCCTGGGCAGGTCTTGTAAGCTCCTGGGGTGCTATTTCCTTGTCTACCTCCATATTCCCCCTGCATCTTCCTCATTTTCTTTGGTGCTACATGTGTGAAGACAGGAGGCCCTAAAACTAATGCTAGCCCCCGGTGTAGCTCTGTTTCTTTTTGCACCCACTTTGCAAAGCAGCCCTACGGGAACACATTGCGGTGTTGTAACTAATCTGGCATCCTTCTTTTCTCTGCTAGATCCACACAGGTTTACAGCACCAGATAATTTGGCCGTGCCAGCCCAGCTGTGTGCCACTGGATGAGAAACTCCTCCCAGAGCTACTGCAAGAGGCGGGATACGTTACTCACATGGTGGGGAAGTGGCATTTGGGGATGTACAGAAAAGAATGCCTTCCAACCCGCAGAGGATTTGATACTTACTTTGGTAATGGTTAGATTTAACATGGGCAACGAACATGGTGTTAAAAATGATGAGAAACTGCCCGATTCTTCTAAGAACAGCGGATTTACTATTGGTGTATAAGTAAATGAATACCTGGGCGTGCATGCTTCCAAAGTATAACTGCGTAAAGTAAGATACTGCCTTAAATGCATGTCGAAGCCTTTCAACTTATTGAAGAAAATATCATAATTATTGGTTGGCTCCAAAGAAATTATTTCCCTCTTATGATCTGGATTTAATTTGGTTCCATGATGGTTGGAAGATTTAAGGTGTAGTGCTTGGTTATTTTTTATGAGTGTCTTTAATCTGAATGTTTTGTGTTAGATCAGACAGAAAACATCACTTGCTCTGCAAATAATGCTGCACTTCTAAAGCTGGTATTTTTAAGAGAGAAATAGATGCCGTAGCACACTGTGGTCATGCTTTGTGAACAGGGTAGCATTGGTTTTCCAGAGTCTGTGCCAAGGAAGATGGTGTGAGAGCCTCTATAAAACAGTATATAAAAAGTCTGTTGCAGGAACTCGCAAGTTATGACGTCAAACGCTCAGATTAAAGAACCAGAATTAGGTTGTCCAAGTGTGAGTGTGTTACAAAGCAACTTGTAGCTACAGGTTGTTTATTCTTCCTCTTGCAAAGGCTCGTGTCCCAATATTGACTGGACATTTATTAGTTTTGCCAAAGTGCCACAGAAGTTATGTGAATCGGGCTGCCTGCAATACATCTCGTTCCGTGTGGTACTGAGTGCAAAGTTGTCCATTTCCACTTCATTGCTTTTAAGACACTTTTGTTGAAGGGGGAATTTCAAAACAGTTCATCATCTCCCAAGTAACTTTGCAAGCTGTTGATAGTACTGCTGCCCACTTCTACAGCTGAAAAAGTAAGGTACAGAGAAACTTAAGCTGAAGTCCACCTTCTTCTTGCCTAACTTTAGGCACTTAAATGAGGAGCCTGGCTGTGCTGCGTGCCTGTTACAAGCAGTGGTGATGTTGTGGTTTAACCCAGCAGGCAGCTGAACACCACACAGCCGTTTGCTCACTCCCCCAACCCCAGTGGGATGGGGAAGAGAATTGGAGGAGGGGTGGGGGGGAGAAGTAAGATTCATAGGTGAGGTAAAGACAATTTAATAGGACAGAAAAGTAAGGGGGG